TATTAGAAGCGCTATAACTTTTCAGGCCGGCCTCAAATTCATCATAAGATTAAAACTCGGCTCCTGCACAAAACGCCTTTTTGCCCGAAGTGATCCCGGTCTCTACCCAGCCTGAGGCGAGTCACGAGTGAGGCAGGACAGAGGAAGCTGGAGTCACGAGTCACAGGAAGTCAGAAGTGATGTCATGCTGGACAAGAATCAGAGTCCCAATAACATTTTTTCATATTTGGACTCGAGTCTGAATAGTCACTTCGTAAAGTGATCTAGATCTAGCCATAGCTTTGTAGAGGACCAAATTAATTTACTTTTATGTTTTAACATCATTTTTTAACTTTGTTTTGGTCAATTTGATCGTCCACACCGATGGCGATATAGACAGTATTCAGAAAGAGACAGAGAGAGAGAAGAGGGGAGGAGTAGATCTTTTGAGAACTTCCGGGCAAAATAAAATGGCGACTCGCGTAGTTCGGTTCAATTCGAAAAGTGAAATAGATCTAGCCATAGCATCTTTGTAGACGATCAAATTAGCTTACTTTTGTACCATAACGTAATTTTTTCTTTGCTTTTATCCATTTGATCATCCACACCGATAGAAAGTATTCCGATATTAGAAAAAACAGGTCATGTTTCACACTGGGTGAGAATAGCCAACGGTGGCAAGGCTCACCCAGGGTGAGAGGTCGGTCGTATTTTATTCTCACCCCGGTGAGGATAGCCACTTCCATAGATTAAGATTCTACTAAGGCCTAAGGGAGGACTTCCGTAACGAACGACCTCTAGTCTAGATCTAGATTAGATCTAGATCTAGACGTCTAGATCTAGTCTAGATAGATCTATGAGACAGAGTAGGTAGAATAGAATAGAGTGGTAGGGTTGGGTTTAGGGTTAGATCTAGGTCTCCTCTTGTCGAGTTGTTGGGATGGTTGCTCGTTAGGCCTCTATTCCGAAGTCCTTCGGATTCTAAAATCCAGAAGAGTCTAATGGATCTCCTCTAGTTCAAGAATCTCTAGATCTAGATCTACGTATAGGAATGTAGGCCTAGAATCTAGATCTAGAAACTAGGGCGCCTTTTCTGTAGTTCCCGCCCCGCAATTGTTATTCGCCGGTTTTGGCCCCAAGAGTAGGAGGATTTTAGGGGGGCCCCCCCCCCCCCCCCCCCCCCGGTCTAATACAGTCCGTGCCGGCTTTAAGCACACCGGCATAAAGCACGATTCGGACTCAAGCACATTAAACGGCTCTTCGAATTTTTGCTAGATCTAGATGTAAATTACAAGTACGGTAATTTCGGCTTCAGGCACGCTTCATTCAGCAGTGAAGTGTGTTAAGAGAAACACAAAAAACGCAAGTGATGGACACATACACGTGCTGTAAGGAAGGCAGAGAGATGCACACAGCCGCGCGCACTGACATAGGAGATCTAGCCTAGAGCAAAGCTACACACAGACGAAAACAATACAAAGAGATTCGGGGTGACGAGATAGGGAGGCTGGCTGCGATTTCACCTTTGACCCTTGCTATCCATTAATCCTGCAGAGATGCCAACCAGTACGATTTTACGTATTTTAGTACGATTTTTGGCCGAAAATACGCGAATACGACTTTTCATGACAAAATACGCATCCTGGAATGCGAAAACTACGAGATTCAGCTTGGGCGAGTAAACCAAATTATCTCAGGTCCCATCTTTTGTCAAAATAGTATCAGTATCGCAGAACTGGAATATTTGAAAACCAAGTCCGATGTGGTCAGTAAGTTCATTTTTGCTGGTCGCGATCGTGATATTATATTCGTTCAGCTTTTCCCCGTGTGGAGAGTACGTTTCACTTTCACGCGAAAAGGCAGCTATGGTGGCAGGCGGAAGCGTATGTAACACCGAGGCTCGATCGGGAAAATCAAGATCTACTTTCGCTTTCGTTACCACCGAGAAGTTTGCCAGCAATTGTCTGATAACGCTACATTTGTGGCGTGCAGATTGTGCAGTAGTATAGATCTAGATCTAGGTTCCATCGCCGAATGCTTGGGCTGTGTGTGCGCACGTGTGTGTGTGTGCATTTGTTTGTGTGTGTGTATGTGAGAGTGAGAGTACAACTTTGAAGAGAGGTAAATTTATGTACGAGAATTGCCGAGACTATTATAAAAGATCACAAATTAATACAAAATAAAAACAAACACAGCAAGATCTTGTCAACAGTTACACTGTGGTGAGTCGTGGCGAGGGAAACCCAAGAGTCTTGGGGGAAACCCCGGAGGACAACAAAATTAGATGGCGGAAATACATCATCTATATTTGGGCCAATTACAGAGGTGTGCTAGGTGCTCTCTGTAGCTTCATGTGACTTTTTAAAAGTAGAATCTATGATCTAGATATCTAGAAATCTAGATCTGGAACCCGAGTCCTGAGTGTAAAACTGAGTAGATTTACTGCGTTAAGTTAGGGGTCTATTCTATTTGTAGGCTAACTAGAATCTAAATTTAGATATCTACTTACTAGATCTAGAATCTAGTAGTTTTTTAAATGGTAATTTTGCAGTATTGGACCCATCTCGCAAGGAGACATAAATTTGTGATTTTTCTGAAGTTTTTTTCTGTGGTGATATAAACGAATTTGATCATTAAATCAACGCAAATTAACCTAAACTAAATGTGATAAAATGGAGGGGGCAAGCCCCCGTATAAACGCCCATTGGGATCCTATAAAGGATTTTTAGGAAGGAGTTCCGCGGAGGGCTGGCCGACTGACCAACAACACACAAAAGAGGGGAGATTTTGAGTGGGGTAAACAAAAAAGGTTTGGTTCAGTATTTTGCAAAAATATTATGTCTGTAGCTTTATCACGGGGGGGGGGGAGACCCCCTGCACCCCCCTTTTGATGGCATTTTGTTGTTTTTTTCACCCCCTTTCTTTCCTAAACAGAAGTCCGATTTTTTCAGTAGTCGACAGGAGAAGGTAATGGCGGTTTCCACACGACTCAAATTTGTCCTCGACTGGAGCTGTCAAATGTGCTTTGCTCTATAAGTTACCTCTCCTAGTCGTCAAATTTACCAAAACGTAGGTCATCATCAATTGGATTGTCTAAGTGCACCAACTCTTGAATAGTTTGCTCAGTTGACCGTGTCACGGTAAGTGCCGGCCCTCTGCAGAACTCCTCCCAATTTAAAGGCGAAAAAGAAAATTAAACCACCCCTTAGAAAAAAACCTAAATATTCTCTTCCTTACTCGTGCTGCTCTGCGCAATCATCCAAGAAAGAACCCTTGTTGTTGGAAACACCGAAACCACACCTCCTCTTTTTTGTCTTAGGAATCTCAAAACTGCTCCTGCAGCGCCATACAAACACTTTTCCTCACAAAATGTGCACTGCGAATTACACTTCGGGCACACTAGATACGTTTTTCGGCAAAACGCCATCCAAACTTAAAAAATCAGGGCTTTTCTGGTTGTCGTCGTAGAATCTTGAGATGGCTGAGAAATATATAAGGTGCACGACCCAACCCAGACGAGGAGCAGCGCAAGAATGACAGTTAGACTAGAAGATTTCAAACTTAGAGAGGGAAATGACGTAAGCAAAGCGCAGCAGACATCGCGAAATGCATGTATGCGCAACAATTAATATGCTAGACCTACAGGTTGGAAGTCGTTTGTGCATGCGCATTCAAAAGGTTTGATGGTCTATGACACGTGGCTCGCCATGCTATCACATTGCTCTTTCCCAGTGTATTATTAATACGCCAAATTCATGAAAATATAGTATATTACAGATATATATACGGGACATTTGCGGTGGTTTTGAATATCATTCATTAATAACACACCCTAAAACCTACAAAAACCATGTTAACATAGTAGTCAACATATGTTGGGTCCAATTCTGCATTAATACCGTTTTAATTCAACATTTTCCACTTCCTTAGGCAGGCTGAGAGGAAAGTCCAAACCAAGAGCTCAACAGAGCTTTAAATTGTCTTTGACTCTGGTCTGCCAGCTTTGGTTACCTAAAATCAAATTCGAGTGACGAAGGAAAGGTGGTTCCAGGTGCATCATTCTGTTGACAAGATAAAATTTTAAGTTAAATTAAAGATGTCTCGGAGACCAGCTGGGATTGCAGCCATAAAGAACAGAAGTCTTGCCCAGGTAATTTTTTTATTTTTGTTTGATCTTGGAAAAATGTAATAAATACCCTAGTGATGCATGCTGTCTTGTATTCTTATTTTTGCCAATGCAGAGTTTAGTATTCAATTCTCCTTCTCTGTGTCTCTGTATGATGTGGTCCATTCTCCTCTGACTTCAACTTCAATTTCAAGTCTGAGGGGTAGTTCATTTTCAAGGCATTAACTAACTTTCTTCATTCCCACCTATTACTAGCCTGTACCTAGTTTACTTCTAAATCATGATAAAAAAACAAATCTCTGTGTTTAAGTTTTAGGCGTCTTTCCATGCTGATCTAAAAGCTAGGTGACCAACAAAGTCTATTTAGTAAAATCCCATTTATTGAAGGTCACTACAAAGTAAGGTTCCAACACGCTTTCCTGTCCTATATCATTAACCCTGGAAGCATTCAGGCCTTTTATGAAGGGCGTTACAAGCTGGGCTACTCTGAAAGCATGCTGGGAAGCGCGCAGGCCCTAAATAAAGGGCATGCGCTGACATTTTTCAATGGAAAATTTCAGTATTCTCCTTTAGCTATTTTTTTCATCACACTTTAACGCAAACCTATGAATCACAGTCAAACAGAATGTAAGTACTATTTTGAGAGGCATATATGGAGATGTCTAGCAGATGGTTATGGGAGGAAATAATTATCATACTGAAAAAGGGGGAAGGTTGGTCTGTCTCAAAATGAGCTATTTGTTGGCCAGGTAACTTTAAATCATTCATTATAGTCACTCACTGTATCAAGAGTTGTTTTTTTTGTTTTTTAGTTTTTTTTCTTGTATGGTCTCTGGCCTCCAGAAGTGCCATGCAAAGTTTCGGGGGCATTGGTACCTTAAACTCTTCATTATGTTGTTTCGTGTGCTGCCTGGTACATCACGAAAATGTTTAGCTTTTAAAGCTTTGTGCCATGCCATGGATGTCACCGATCATTTGTGGTTGCCTAAGACGTTTCATGTACGTCAGGCTAATGGTCTGGTTCTAATTAGATCAGTTATCCCTAGCAGAGACTTAACTACAAGCACAGTGTGAGTGTGTATTGGGGAATTTAAAATGTGCATTCTGTAAAAAATGTGCTAGATCTAGTATTAGTTTACTGCTATGGTTACAAGCGATAGTTGAACTAGGTCTACTCTTGCAGACAACTGCAAGCTTTTGCAAACTGTAGGTTTTTTATTATGGGTAAAATAGGGAATAGGGAAGAAAGAATGTAGCGCTGTCAAAGACCTGGGTTCCGAAATATGTCCTGTGTGGGCTAGACCTAAGGGGCGAGTCTGTTAATCCTGAGACATTCGTGATTGTTGTCCTGGTGACTAACGAGCTTAGCTGAAAATCAGTGCTTTCAGTATTTTTAGAATGAAGGGGTTAAAATAAATAGCTCGAATTGTTTTAACACAGATCACAAAAGTGGACAAGTTGTAGCTCCTATTTCTGATGGTCACCTATACAAACAACCTCTTCTCATTTTCCCACTTTATTTTTTTGGTTTTATATATATTATAGTGGTACTACCCAAGACAACAACCTGTCCAACACAACCACTACTGCTATATTTTATCAGTTAAAACACCCAGGCGAATCTCTCAATGCTCTATATTATATTGGACCCATACTATACTGCTGTTCCATCAGAATGTTAGGGCTATTTAACAGATGACAGCATAAGCCCATTATAATATACTGCCAACCCTGTTGTACCGTCAACCACACGCTTCCCAAAGTGGGCTGTATAGCAAGGTTTGACAGTAATGGAAGGGATACAATTAGTTCACTATAAAAGAATACATTTTTCACTGACAGACCACTGTGTCACAAGGAGAGGAAAAAATAATGTGACTGTCCCCATTCTAAATTAAAGAGCAGACTCGTCTGACTTCTTGATCAGTGAATAGTATGGATGTAATTGAAGTTTATACAGTCAGTCAACCCAGGTTTGAAATTCATGTCGATGGCACACAAAAGCCTCTCACTCTCACCTGGTTCCCTACTGGTTCAACTGAGCATTGGAGGAAAAGGACGTGAATGCCTCATGTTCAAATGTTCAAATCTGAATCCTGCATTTATTGTGTTCATGGATTACTCGTTTGCAGTGTAGGCCTGTGTGGGAAAATATAATATAGGAAGTAAACAGTAAATCTGCTGTGTGTTGTGAACTCCCTATCCCCTAAGTGTTGAGAATGAAATGGCTACTTCTGGCTGTTGACCAATTTTAGCTGCTTTGACTACACACTTGTATTGTATAATGGATTGTTCATTTGATAGAAAGAATCTCAATTATTTTTATTTTTCAGGCAAAGTACAAAGACAAAGGCTCTGAAATAGCAGAGAATCAGTTTGCCCAGGTAAATTCTTCAGTTCTTTAAAAAATACGAACATTATATCTAGACCATTACTCTGACTAATTATTTTTTTTTGTAAACTGTAAACTATTTGAATCATAAGCTTTCTACGATTTAACTTACACAAAAAGCAGATAGTGAACAGATTTTCTGGTACCAAATTTTGTTTCTAATGTATAAGTATGCTTTGTATGTACAAAGCGAAATTCATAAAAAAGATTTCCACAATAGAAACATTAGAAGAGCTTTCTAATTTTTCTTTACGATGTATCTTAAGAGCATAATGTACAATCTGTCTCAATAACCTTCCACAAGTCTTTAGAATTAATCTCTTTAAAATTTTATATTTTTCTTTGACGATTGAGTCAGTGTGCTGTGGGTTAACAATGGCTGAGAGTTATGGCTTCTTTTTCTGCATGTTTGTAACACCTGTAATCTTTGCTTTGGCACTTATACGGTGGCGTCCAAAAGAAACTTGAGAATGCTATGATCCAATAATCGTGTTATAGACATGCACTACCCACTCATGCAGCATACTAATTTAAAGCTAAATAAATTCTGTATCCTTTGGCACAATAATGTTCCATCTAGGTTTAGAGATGCCCGAGATATGGTCACTCAAAATTGACCTTGAAAAATCAGGCTTGGCAAAATTGCGAAATCAAAGAAACGTGAAAGTGTATTGGCACGTTATATTGAGGTGCATTAACATCGATGGAAATGGCAATATGTTGAGTATGTAATGAACAGCATCTTCTGATGATATTTTCCAACAAATTGGAAAACAGCAGTTATAAATACCATTCAAAACATGGACTTAACAATACATGTGCTCATTAGAATTATTTTGTTTTTGTTTAGGTGCTATTTGTTTTGTGTAGACCACGAAACTTTTTTTTGCGCATGGACAATGTTGGTTACATTTTAGACATAATCGTCAGTCAGTGAGGCAGAGAGGCCACAAAACTGTCATGGCTTTGGGTGGTCTGGGGTGGATTGAACAGAACCGCCCTCATGAAAATCACTGGATAGCTTGGTTTAATGGATTCCATCGCGCAAATGCTAGAACGTCGTATCCTACCCTTATTTTCCTTGTGGTGTCATTCAAGTAGCCATCTCCATGCATGGCAAAACACTTTCTCACAGGGCCAATGCCTCTTGAGAATTCTTGGAAAACCAAATCGAATCAGCGTTGGAGTGGTCACCAAGTCCGATGAATCCTACAGATACGTGAAGTGAAGTCCCTTGAAACAGCAGATGAACAAAAGCGACTTTGCTACCAATTCAGTCCCTTTGTTTGCAACTCTCTGTGACTTTTTGGGATGAAGTGACAGATAATTATTTCCAAGTTTTAATAGTCGGTGCCCAAAGGGTTCATGCACTTCACAATAACAATGGCTCCTTAGAAAATAACGATGAGCACATTTAATGTAAAGTCCCTAGTTTACCATGGTATTTGTGATTACTCTGTTTTCCATTTTGTTTGTAATTATCTTAATAAAATATTGTTTTTCGCAGAGACAAAATTCTCCATTCATTGGACATGCCATGTATTGTACGAGGGCTGTCCCACGGAAAACCGGAAAAGGTCCATAAAATCAACAATCTTTGTCCTATTTTAATAAAAATGTAACACATCATACCTCAACATGTGCTTTATTTCTTAATGTAATCACCTTCCCGCTGGATGCATTTTATCCAACGCTGGATCAGGGAGAAGATACTCTCCCTGAAGAATTTTTCGTCAAGGGATTTCAACCAATCTGTCACGGCTTCCACGAGGTCTTCGTTGTCGGAAAATTGCTGTCCAGAATTATGGCGTTTCTTTGGTCCAAAAAGGTGATAAGCTGACGGGGCCAAGCCAGGACTGTGAGGGGGGTGTGGCAGAACTTCCCAGCCAAACCTTTGGATTCAGTCTGTCGTAGCGTTCGCGGTGTGTGGTGTGGCGTTGCGTTGTTATGCTGCAAAATGACCCCGCTGGACAACCGGCCTGTCTTTTTCGGCACACAACCTCTCTCAACTTATGACGATTCTGGCAGTATCTGTTAACATTAACAGTTTGTCCTTGTTCTAGACTGTCAAGAACCAGAACACCCATAGAATCCCAGAAAACGTGGCCATGAGTTTCTTCACCGATGGTTGAACTTTAAACTTTTTCGGGGGAGGTGAAGACAATGTGCTTCCAAACCATTGAATCCCTCTTCGTCTCAGGGGTCATGTGGAGTATCCAAGTCTCACCACCGGTAATATTGCTTTTCAGGAAATCTTTATCATATTGTTGGAGGTCTCCAGGTGCGTTCATGACTCCCATGACAGCTTGGCGACAACGATTCAACAAAGTCTGAGACACTTCAACACGTTGCGTCATGTGGTCAGCTGTCAGCTCTTTTGGGACCCGTCGAGCAGAGACCTTTCGATAGTTCAGCTCATCAAACACTATCCTATGGACAGTCGACTTTGAAATGTTTAGCGACTCGGAAATTTCGCGATTTTCTAGGCGCCTTTCTGTTTGAATGAGTTTGTTAACTCTTGTTGTCCTCAGTCTTGGCAGAAAAACAAGGTCCTGGGTGAACTTTGTCATTGACATCCGTATGCCCGGCTTTGAACTTACTACACTACTCATAATATACCTGCGACTTTACCATTACTTTCTCCCCGTATACTGACTTTATTTCAGTGTGTATTTTTATTGGTTCGATACCATTTACGGTCAGAAACCGAATGACAGACCTCACCTCACTTCTACCCTTGACCAATTTTCCAAGGGGGCAGCCATGTTTTGAGAACTGCTGTGTTCGTTTAGTTAGTGTGATGCTCATGGTGCTCAATTTGGGAAATTTCTAAATGCTTGTTTTACAAGTGTGCGTTTACAGAATGTGAAAATATGGAATAGTTTTCAAATTACAGCTAAATTCCGGTTTTCCGTGGGACAGCCCTTGTATGTCCGTTCTATCAATATTATTGATGCTCCTCTGTACGCACACAAAGACAATGTTACGTTTCTTTAATTTGGCACAATTTTCACAAGCCTGATTTTTTTTAGGTCAGTTTTGAGTGACCATATCTCGGGCATCTCTTAACATAGATAAAATATTAATGTGGCAAATGGTAGAGAATTTATTTAGCTTTAAAGTGGTATGCTGCATGAGTGGTAAATGCGAGGCTTTAACACAATGATTGGGTGATTACATTTTCAAGTTTCTTTTGGACACCGCTATATGACCTAACTGTGTTGCAAGTGCCGTAAAGATCTTACTAAAGCTAAAAAAGATACTTTTCACTATTGCAATTAATTGCTAATGTATCGGTCAAGGTGAGGTTATTGGTAGGGAAAAGTCGATCTTTAGGCTGAGATGTAGTGTGTTGATTCAGCAGTGTAAAAAGGAGATTTAACTAAATTCCTAATTAATTATTGCTTGCCGAAAGTGTTGTCTTCATAACAGTGATTGCACTGTCCACGTGTATCTGTTTTGTGTGTGTGTGAAAGGGAAAATAAACAGGGGTTGGGGGGGGGGGGGGATGGTCCTTTTACTTAGGGCCTCTCTCATCATTAGGATTATTTCCATGTGACTGTCATTCATTTAACTTTCTTTCTTTTAGATGGGAAAGCAAATGGAAATGTTCAAACATAACCTAGAAGAATTCGCCACAAAACATAGAGAAGACATTCGCAAAGACCCAGAGTTTCGACTTCAATTTCAAGAAATGTGTGCTTCAATTGGTGTTGATCCTCTTGCTTGTAAGTAACAGAGATGACAATTTCACAGTTACATAAATCCAGAAATCTGGATTAGTGAAATTATCTGGAATATGTTCGCCTCATGCATGTCATAGTATAAAGATAGTCTTGATAAAATTGCATCAGACAATATGAAAAATTACAATTTTTTTTCATAGCAAGTTGGCACCTCTCCTTTTTTATAAGTAATTGAAGGCAGCTCAAGTTACTTTCCTCTTCCCATTTTTTAAAAAAGTACCGTATTTTTACATGTATACCTGTAAAATGGGTTGAATATTTCAGAGTAGAGACAATTTGCAGATATCTAGGACTTCACAAAGTAACAGGCTTCCATACTTACCAATAGCTTTGATTATAAACTTTTAAAGAATCTAGGATGAAATTTTATCTTTATGTATCTGCAATTTTATCTTTATCCTCAGCCAGTAAAGGCTTCTGGGCAGAGATGCTTGGAGTTGGAGACTTTTACTATGAACTTGGAGTACAGATTGTTGAAGTGTGTATGGCTACCAGTAAAAGAAATGGAGGTAAATTTGCTGTCTTTAACTTGTAGCTGAATGAAATTATTGTTCATGTTCTAGCCTTGTATCAGTTCTGATGGCATGCCCATATTTCTTTTAAAAAATCCCAAGGCTGGCTTGTTTGTTCCATCACATTGTCTTTGCTACCAAGAAACTATACCACATCATAGCTCATAGGACATTTACCCTGCATTCTCATGTTCTTCTCTCTGATGATTGTTTTGTACCCTTTATAAGGGCTGCCCATCTTTACGAATTTGGGGGAATCATTATGATTCTTTGTCAAGTTTACAAAAATACAATCATAACACACTTGATTCCGATTTTTTTTAAAATCATGTGACATTCCACTGCTCCAACCCATCCCCAGCCTCCCTTTAACTCTTTCTGTGCACCGAGCCCTTGTAGTCACTTTGTTTGTAGAAAAATATTTGTTATGCCGAAGCCAGAGGAGTAAGGCAAACAAGTATGGCAAGGTGTAAAAAATATTTCTGCGCTTTTAGCTTTTGCATTGAGGGTCTTTTGCATTTCCAAGGCCAATGAAAGAACTTTTAAAAAAAACTGATCTTTGAAACTTGAAACAATCAGATGGGGTGCAAAACATGGTATCCATCCTGTTGTTGTTCCTTTGGTTTCTTTTGATTTGGAATTATTCAAGCTCACAGCCAATAATTCCCAGGCGACCCCCCCACCCCCAACCCTCCTTTTCCTTTTTTTTTCATAACTCAACGATGGCAAACTAATGTTGAAATTTCAAAGTTCATCACAAGTTGTGAGAATAGAGAGGAAGAGTGAAGCTTTAGTAGTACAATTTCATAACAAGATTATATTATGCAACTAAACAAAATCTTACGCTGGCAGGCTCAGTGCTCGAATTTTAAACTTTAGTTCATTTGGGTTTCCTTCCCCATACTTGGTTGTTGTTTTGTTGTTGTTTGTTGGGGGGGGTTCTAATTTTTCATAAAGTGATTAGAAAATAGACAAGATTGTTTTCTTTTCCAGGACTGATTGGTTTGGATGAGCTGAGAAGAAAAGTAGAAGCTTCCAGAGGCAGGACTTCACAAGCAATAAGCACGTAAGTCTCAATATACAGCTGGAAAAAAAGCCCAGTTATTTTTTATTTAAGCTAAAAACTTAATGGATTATGTCTGTAAAACTACAGTAGTCTCTGCCTAAACCCACGGTGCCCGGGAAGGTAGCGTTTGCGTAGCCTACTGTCAGGGATGCGATGACTAATTGAATAGCGGCAAAGGAAAAATGGCATTTTCAACCCTCTGACAACTTTAAAAATCTGTCATTATAAGGCACATTCCATGTTGTGTTCTGAGCTCTTTTTTTACAGCTCTTGAAGAACTTTTTAACAAGTACAAGAACATGTTTATAAAAAATGCTCAGATATATCTAGATCTAGATAAGATCTATGTCACAGTAGGCTTGAGTAGGCCTAGATTCTAGGTCTAGCCATCGCCAGCAATCATTCGCCACTTAGCCAGAGAGCTCCAAGGGTTTCTAGTAAGGAGTAAACTCAAGATCTACCCCTGAATGAAAATGTCGATCTGTATATGATTTCAATCCCCTAAATTGATGTTAGGCCTACAAATAAAATATAGCTCCAAAAAGCTATAAAATCAAGACTAGTGCAGTGTCTTTGACTTTGGTGTGTCTCTGCTCGAGCTGTCGTAGCTTCCATAATGATTATTAATGTTTACAAATCAAGAACAGGATGAACTTGAAGTACTGCCACTCCGCTGGGTAGTGTTCCGACTCCTGATCTTTGATTGAGTTGTTCTTGGCGGTGACAGATTTCGAGGACTTTTTGCTGAAAACGTACTTTGTACCACTGTACTTCCTAAATTCTTCCTCAAACTCACGATACTGTTTAAAAATTCGTCCCACTTCGAAAGGGTGTGGATTTGCATCTGCTGTTCTTATTGAGAGAGAGAGAAGCATGGCCAGCAGAGGGCGGAGAGTCGATGCCCCCTAGCATGATCCAGCTGTTCACTGATTGGTCCGAAGAGAAAAACAAGTTGTGAAAAAGCGCATACATTTTTTCTCCACGACATGTCGTGAAAATACCGGCTGCCTTCTTCATTTCCATAGTGTTTACTTCTCTTTACTTCTTTCGTGGGACTGCAAAGGTGAAAGTCTGGAGGTGCTAAATCAGGGAAATAAGCTGGGTGTGGCAGTGTTTTCCATCCTAAGTAGGTGATTGTCTTCCTTGTTCTGGCCCTCTTCTTAGCAGGCGGGCTTTGTCATTGTGAAAAAGCATTCTTCTGTGTCCAAATTTGGACTGATTCATTGCATTCTCGCTTTCAGTCATTTCAGTGGTTTGTATAGGTTTCAAAGTTGACAATTTACTCCTTGTGTCAAAAATTTGTGTGAATTATGCCATGAACATCCCAAAACACAGTTGCTTTTGGGGCTTACCTCTGTTTTGATGTTTATTTATTTTCTTCTTTATGTTGTAAGAGATGTGGAATGTTCCCATTCCATTGATTGGTTCTTTGATTCTGGTTATTATTAATGAATCCATGCCTCATCTCCAGTCATGAGTTTTTCAAAAAGCTACAAGAAAAAAAACCTAGGCAACTTGATACGATTAGGAGGACCTCCTTACCTAACTTCTAGTTCATCAGGTGAAATTTGCCTGTCTGCCCTTATCATTTTTTTGGTCTTTGCCTTGGTGGTGGTGTTCACACTGCTTGAAGTTGAAGGTCGACCGAGTCGATGCTTGTCTGGCAAGCACAATGTCATTATCTCTTCCTCTATTTCTGGTGTGTTACTCAAACATTTGATCCACCTACAGTGCTGAAACCTTTTGAAAATTTTGACGTCTTTTAACGTGGCTGTTACTGGTGATTTCTCCTTCTAAATCAAGAAATTCAGTCACAGTTCTTTGCTTCTGATGGACCTTCGAGGGCGAAGCCATTTTGATTTTACGTCATTCTCGCAAAATCGAAGAAAATGGGATTTTAACAATTTCGGTTCAAGAGTAATACAGGGTGCCCACTACGGCTGGGATCGCCCGACTCGATCGCCTCAAAAACAAACATGTTTGTTTTCAGTTTCAGGCAATCGAGTCAGGCGATCAGCACGATCCAGCCGTAGTGGGCACCCCGTATAACGTGCAAGTACATACAGTATAGCACGGATGGATTGAACACAGAAGACTCGAAATCACGCATCCGTTGAACTGTGCCTGCGGTCCTATTTTTTATTTTCTTCTTTAACTTTGTAAAGATACCACTCGAACTACCGAGGCCGGCCCCGACGAATTTGAGCTATCCGTGTTATGCTGTATTAGTATTAGCTTAAAGCCATAAAATTTTGGTTCATAACTGTGTAAAATAGCAAACAGCTTGCATTAGTTTTTTTACTCCACCTCGTAGTTTGGTTCCCTTTCAGAGAACCTTTGTAGATCAAGTATTGTTTTTAAAGGAAATCTAGTTGTTTTTGCCAATGACTTATGCAGTCTTTTTATCTTTTCTTTCTTTCCTCTTGTACTTGAGACTGTGCTTCTGTATGGTTTATTATGAATTTAATGTGAATTAAATTAATAATAAACTTTGCCTGAAGCATACTCGAATGTAATTTTGCAGCATTTTTGCATAAGATCAGGCTCACTGAAGAATATCAATATTTTATACATAATGGCAATATTCAATACATGCCACAAAAGTTTGCATTCTTCATCTTGTTTCAGTTTGATAAAAAATAAAGATGAAGTTTAAGAAAAAGATTTTTGAGTTGAAGATTATATCTTTTAAAATGATTGCAGATATTTCATCGTATTGGAATTGGCGGGATCTGTTTACGTGTTCTTTTAGCATCTGATCATATTTCATTCTTTTTTTGGCCAGTTAGGGTTCTATAATTTTTTTTTATATCGTATTTTGTTATATTTTAGTGCCGATGTCCACTTTATTTTATCAGAGATGATCTTCTGCGTGCCATCAAGAAGTTGAAGATCCTGGGTAATGGTTTCTCAGTCCACAAAGTTGGCCAAAATTTCCTTGTACAATCTGTACCAGGGGAATTGACGCTGGACCATACTATCGTACTTCAGCAAGCTCAGGTGAGACAAGGAATGTTCAAAGAGTACTATGCATGTGAACTTATTCTTCTCATTCTAGATCATGAGTCCCTTGTTTGATGTACATTCTTGATTTTGTTTTCATTCTGAGCACTGCATTCCACACAAGGGATGGGGATATCGCTCTGCGCAATACTCAGGTTTAATCATGTTGTCATATTGCTTTACCACCCGGGACTGAAGTGTCTTTAGGCCGTTCCCAAAGGGGGGACATTAACATGTTCTTATGCCCTGTAGAATTGTAAGTGGGCTGATTCATCGGTATCACTCATAACTGCCTGAACTGCATTTGGGGAACTGCTGCTTTTTCTATCCTAATCATTACTATCGTCGTTTTTCCTTTACTTCATTTGTATGTTTGTCCCTCTTGTGACCCAATATTTCCGGAGTGCCTTGATAGTCGAAGTAGACTTTGTGCTGTGGAAACTGGAGAGGTGAGCAGAGTAAGTCTGATTCCCTGTATGGACTTCTCTGTTGACATCCACCCCTTTGCGCTCATATGACCTTATGCAGTTGCGAACGTCGTAAACACTCTACTAAACTAAACATACTACTTACTTTGTTTCACTGGATCAGGCCGATCATAATTATGTGAAGTGGGTCTTTCACTGCAGTCAGAACAATTTGCCACTAACCATTTAGTCCCTAAGAAGTTGTTCTGATACACATGTCATGAATCCCTAAAACAAGAGAGAATCCCCTAAAAGTAATGTACATGATGTTTTAAAAAATTCGTTATGAAAACTTGTTGTTACAAAATTTTCTGGAAAAGTGGCACTATATTTTAAAAAGAATATTGCTTCCAACAGGCCAGTTTCTGTTGTGATACAGTTTGGGCAAATTGTATATTTCTCACATTATAGTTGTTACTGCTTGCATTTTCTTTCGTTACCCATCTATTTTCTCAAATCGAAATTGCTCGACTCCTCCAGTGACTTAAAAATATGATATTACAGTAGACCAAGAATTGAACTTTCAACGTGTCTTTATTTGGTTGAGATCGCTTCACAGGCTGGATTATTGTGTATTTTCCAAGTTTCCCAGGATTTGTCCAAGTTTCAATTCCATTGCCCCCCTCCATTTTCACATAATTACTTTAAAGATTCACTCTTTCATTATTTTTTTACATCTGGGTAAATTTTGACCGTTCAAAAACTCAGAAGGACTCTATTTATTTTCGCTTTATAGCCTGATTTTCAGTCATTCTAATCAGACATTCTATCTAGTATCTAGACCTCATAGAAATATACACCACAGAAATGTCAGGTGCAGGTTGAGCTTTTGAAACGCCTCACAACGCTGTTCTTGATGCAAATTAATAGACTCCACACAATGCCACTCATGGTGCTATGTGGTTAATGAAATGTGAGGCGTCATGGTGAAATCAGGCGTTCGTGGAAATAATGAAATTGAAAAAAAAAACTTTTCCCGCAGATATGACAATCTTTTTTTTTTTTGAGCTCATCGCCTTTTATGTCCTTTTCAAAACTCTTGTATGTGTGGATTTTACTGAAAAACGTTGATTAAAGACACAAAAGATGAAAAGATGAAAATGTTTAGTTTGTGTACACTTTGTTAAAGTGATAGTAGTATTAGAGTGTCTTCCTTGCTGAAAAAGGTAAGAAAAGTACGTTTTCCTGTTTTGTCAAATGAAAAATTGTTATTTTTATTTGTCTTGCTTTTTGTTTTTCTTTATTTGTTTAAGAAGTGAATTGCATCATATTTTTCTGAGCTCGTCTATAGATCGTCTTTGGGTTTGTTTGTTTTTTTTCAGGAAAATGGCCATGTCACAAAGTCAGGAATCATCAGTAATTTAAGCTGGGAGGAAGAAAGAGCAAAACGGGCATTGGTATGTGATACGACAGTCTTGTGTGTTTATTCAAGATTATTGTTTGTGTAAATGGGTATTACAGGGTGAGTGCCAGGCCCTGAGAATCCTGGGGGCCCCGAGAATTACTCAGAAATTTGGAGAAAAAAAAATCGCTGAGAACCAGGAATGCTCTCAAATTCGAGGAAATCTGTAATTTGCTCTGGGAAAATACATAAAGTTCTCAAATATTTGAAAACTCAATATAATTAGGTCAGTAAATTCCTGTTTTCCAGTCACATGGTCATTCAGCTTTCTCCAGTCCGAGAGTGCATTTCACGCAAACAAGCAGCTACGACGACAGGCAGATGTGTACATGTATTACGAAGCTTCATCGGGGTAATTAAGATCTACTTTCACTTTCATTACCATCCAGAATTTTCTGTGATAGTCTGATAAGTAAAAGTGAAAGTCATATAAGTCATGGCATGCTGGTTGTGCTTTAGAAACGCAGTGTCGCCCTGCAAATAGATCGTCACTGTGCTGTCACTTAGGAAAATATTTTTAAAAAACACAAAAAACAAGTGTCGTCCGATTTAAAGTCTGTCAGGCCCGTCATCGTAACCAGCCATTCACATCACGAGACATGGCTATGTGTGGGTGTGTGTGTGTGGAGCGCGTGCAATCAATGTTATGTAATGTGCCCCAGGAAAATGGTTGGGCCCCCTTGGAAAATTGAGAAGCCGGTTCGGCAGTCACTCTGTTGTAAGCCTGACACAGGGCTGGCTGATTAGTTCCTTGGTTTGGATCCTGCATCTATTATGGGAGCTATGGTGTACACAAATTTATTATAGCACAGCCTCTCTATAACGACATCCTCAGAATAGCGACATGGTTCCCTGGTCCCCATTTTTTCCTTATACAGTGAAGTCCGCTTAAAGTGAACACACTTTATTTGAACAATCAGTTAAAGTGAACGATATTCTGTGGTCCTGATTGAAAAGCTATTTGTATAAGTAAAAAAATAGTGGATAAAATGACCGGTTTCATGGGGAAATTGAATAAAGTGAACGTCCAAAATGAATGAAAAGAAAGAATGGACCGACCATGTCACTGTCGCCATGCTGTGAAAATAAAATTGTTTGCCTCGGACATCGGCAGACCATCCCAGCTCCGCATTGGCAACGACAATCTCAATCAGAAAGAAAGAGCTCTATTCTAGGCTCGCCCACTGTGTTGTCCCCCTTCCCCACCTCCACCCCAGACCCACCACTGCACGTAGCTACTGTTTCTAGGCTTCCACCCTACCAAAATGGTTAAACTGAACCTTGGATAAAGTGAACACTTTCTTCTGGTCCCAAAGTGTTCGCTTTAAGCTGACTCCACTGTATATCATAAGTATTTTTTAGTTGCCTCTCTGTAACGACAACTCTCTATAACGACATTTTTTTCTGGTCCCAACAATGTCGTTATAGAGAGGCTGCACTGTATATTTCCATGCTTTGTTTTGGTCTGACAGATAAATTCTTAGTGATCGCTCATGAAGTGGGGCTTTCCTCCACAAGCATCAGTCAGAAATCAGCAGTGTTAGATGAAGTGGAGTACTGTTCTAAAGTATGGGTAATATACTGTGCACTTGACAAAATTGGTTATTTTCTGTTACACTCTGTTTTGCAATCTCCAAACAGAGGTGAAGAAAAAATAATGGATACTCTCGGTGCTTATAATAAGCTTTTTATTACACCATCTCTTAGGAGATAAAATGCTCACATTTGCACTAGGTACCACAAACCCCCGCCTCTGCGCAGTTGAAAGCGTGTAGGAAGCTCGAAATTTGGTCATTTTTAATCAACCATAACTCTTCTTATTTGACACCAATCTTCACCCCGTTTCGAACTAAGTCAGTTCAACTATTGTTTTTAGCTAATTTCAAACTATTGAGGACGGCACGGAACGAGATATTGTATAGTAAGCTTTCTAAAAAGGTCACCAAAATGCACGGGAATGCGTTTTTCACGTCCATTTTCATGCCGGCTGCGGCGACAAAAATTTAGGGTGCCTCATAAAAAGCCTTCGCGCTACGCGGCTATAACTGCTATCGTCATGAAACAAAAAGTGCAAGAACGAGCTTTCAATAAGCTTTCACCCGGTACCAAGCGCTTGTTGCTAAAGTTAGTTGTTGACCCAGAAATATCGGGAGTTTTGGAACCTATTTTTAGAATGGAAATCTCCAAGTCTGACTAATGATTGGTCCAAAAAACCCTGGACTACTCAAAACTAGAACATGTCAAGGGAATCATGTGCAAAAATTACTACGATTGGTCTGGTAGCCGTTTAGCACCGCTTGTTTTTGTAAACACACATGCTGGTCCTCTATCTGGCGACGCGCTTGATTCAGCAATGGCGGAGAATTATTTACGTGCACTACCTATTTTCGATTACGCTCTATTCACGTACATAAGTGCATATCAAGGGCTGCATTGTGCTTCCAATCATGGATAGGGATATTCTGGAGATGTGCGGTTAGTTGATTTTGTTAATTAGATTGTTATAGTGTTACTTAGTTCTTCATAAAGACTGACCTAGATCTAGCTAGGGCTTGAAGCCGAGATCGCAAACATGCGAACGGGTGGTCTCATTCAGAGCGCTCTGTAATTAATTCAGTACCCAGTATTGTTGTAAATCAGGTTTGGATAGAAACATAAGAAGCTAAAATTTATTGAAAATATGGTGAAATCTAAATCAATTTGTTTTTAGTCATTAAAAATTGGTGTTATTTTCTGGTCATGTGACCATTTCATTCTATCGATGATTCCGTAATGGTGACCTCCTTTTAAAGATCATAACAAGCTTGATGAACTCGTCTGTGAAGAGGGTGCAGCTGGCATTTGTTCATTGATGAATGAATATATTCTCTTGAATATCGCGAATATCTGACAGTCTTTGATAACTAAATCATTTAATTGTTTTCTTTTAGCCAATATATTATTTAGACTCATGAAACAAGTACCGGCACCAATTGAATTATTTTTTTATTCAACTTTTAGAGTCTGGTTTACTGCTGAAAATGGACTCTCCTACTCGAGAGCTTCATTCATAATAATTCGTGATTATCAAATAAGTCGGTACGTTTAGAATTGCTGGATCTATTCCTGAATAGACCCAATTTGTTTAGATTAATGAGCCATGGGGAATTTGAACTTTGTTGCAGATCCATAGCCTGGTCACCTTGACCACTTTCCACTGCGCTGATGGTAAGAGGTGTCGCAGCAAGAGTGGCATCATTTTATTAAATGTTATAGCGTTGTGTAAGCTAAGGTTTGATATAAAGATAAAACATTAGATTATGACACTGAGAAAATAATCTACTCAAAACACAAACGAAATGAACTTTCAAAGAAAGTCGAACGATGTTTCAGAAGGTAATGACTGCAATAAATACAGCAAATGAAAAAAAAAAGAAAAAACGCTTTAAAAAACAACGATCGTTGGGCGCAGACGGTGTGCTGGACAGGTCCCACAATTATTATTTTTTTGAGTGAGTTAGGAAATGAGGAAATGCTATCTACTTCGTCCATTCATTTGTGAAGGAAAAATGATTAGTAGAAGAGACAGTAGTCCGAATAGGGGAAAATGCCTTTACAATCGGTGAATTTCGAGTACAAAGACAAAGAAAAACACGCGGACAGAAAACATAGTTTCATATAAAACAAAATCCATAAAGGTGCATTTCAAATACCGGAATTGTCACGAGATAAACAGTTCTGTGGGAACAGAACATAATAACATTATCAGCAGCATTAAAACGATGAAAAAAGAGGAAACAACCAGATCTATATAACTCCCCAATGAAACCAACAAGAAATGTTACACAAATATTCCTTTTTGGAGAGCTCCCACGGTTATGTGAGCAAATTCTGGACTTTTACAGGTCTGAATCTGATGTCAAACGAAGTCCGGAGAGGAGTCAAAGCCGGGGGTTAGTCGGTAACGAAGCACGTGGCCCCTCATTGTTAGCGCGATAAAAACAGCCAACCCTCATTCCGTCCCTCGCAGGTGGGATTGTCGGAATTATCGGGCTAAAATCCGATGGGTGCCGGGTTAAACGGTTTTATTTCTAATGTTTTAAAGACATTTCTAGACAAAAATCAGATCTGTCTTTGAGTGAGCATATGAAATGGACAATTTACTATCGATAGGGCCAATAAAAAAGTTTTTGATATTTTGTGGGTTAGTCGGTTTTATCACCAGGCCGACGATATGTTTGATCAAAGCACTTTGAAATTTGGGTTTGTGGTACCTATTTGCACTCTTTGAAATTTGCCTTTTATTTGTAAAAGAGTATTAACTAAATATTCAATATTTAAAATTTAAATGAACTTGGAGTCTTCAGTTTCATATTTCAAAAATGCATGCAAAACTCTTCAGATTGTCAGTGGTCTAGTGATTAGGCTCTTACACTCCTGACTGTTTGGTTCTATGTAATATGTTCAAATCCTACCTCGGGGACAATGTTGTTTCTTTGGAAACGGCGCTTCACATGAATTTTCCTTGCTTCTCCGAGATGGGAATGGGTTTTCAGTTTGTTAGTGTTTAACCCTTTTGTGACTGCTCCCGTACACGGCCTGTCCAACATTGTATGCCAATGTATGTCCTAATATCAGTGGATTGCGGCAATCACGTGGACCTTACTATGTACGCCGTACAGGATTTTATAACTGCACTAAAATAGCTTTGAATGTCCTTGGCTAGCAAAAATTGTGTGCAGTAAAAGTTGGAAAAACCATATGTCATGAAGGGGTTAAGCACTTAATTAGCTGCTTGCTCTGTATTCTTCCCAGGAAACCAAAAATATTTCAGACTGTTTTAGGGTCTGATAGGTTAATAATAGTTGTTAAATGCCTAAAACATGTTTTATAAAGTGGATGTTCACTATAAAAATGCAATTATGATAATTATCATTATCAGTAGGTTGCTGAAAACAAAAGCCCAGTTTCAAATGAGGGAGATAGTTTTGATCCCTTGTACATCGGCCACTTTTGGAAGCTCAGACTGGGTCTCCTTTCCTGTGCTCCATTTTATTTTGTTTGTCACAACTCACTTTTGCCGTGACATTGAGGAGGTAATCACTATTCTGTTACAGGACTTTATGGTCAAGGAGGGCCTTGCTTGGGTTGACGATCAAGGAAGGAAGGAACGTTCATTTTGGTTCCCAAGCCTCATCCCTGATTTCTCGTCTACCCCTGTTGCAAGCTGATGCTGAAGTGGACCTTGCTTTGGAGTATTGACAGGTGTTGACCATGGCTGTGACTGATGAAACAAGCTTTTGAATTATTTTTTTCTTTTTGTTTCAGTGTTTGAAATTAAGTCTTCCTAATTCTGAATGATAAGGTAAGGAAATAGAGAGGAAAGTGATTGTTATTGTGCCTATGAAGGAAACTTTCTTAGATTTTTTAATAAAGTTTCACTGTTTACTGAAGATTACATATTTTTGTCATTTTTTTAGAATGGTATACTCCATTATCTTTCAAACTGTCTGAGTGTTTTTCCTTGGGTTGTCATGGTCTGGACTGTTGATATGCTTTGAGTATGAAACAATGAGTATTGATATTTATTGAATGTGTGTAGTTATTGTCTGACATAATGAAATTTCATTTTCAGCTTGAAATTATTTTTTACCTTGGAATGTTATCAGAAGGAGGAGACACTGTTTATTTCACCCACTAGTGATTTTCGGTACCAGCGAAACCCAGTGTCTGTACTGTCCCAGCACTGGGTGTCGAGAATCGCCAGTACCGTGAGTGACACCAGGAGGAGCTCTATGATCAGCACCACCCGCCTCCCCCCCTCCCACAACTACACACACTAGTCAGAATTGGTGAGGTGAGCTGTGACGCAAAAGCCCTTTGAAGTTTGCTGCCGTGCTGGATTTCTTAACTCATTCGCTACGCCGAGCCGTGGGGGGCGGCGCGGCTCAAGTGCCGTCAGTACGTTAAGCCGCCCCCGGCGGCTCGAGAAACGACGTTCAATTTTAGCTTGGTTTCTATTCCAATCCACTTATCCATGTTAAAATAAAGGTCATAATATAATGTTGACTTCCGGGTCAAGCGTTTCCACCGAAAATCGGAAGTTGTGATTCAGTTTTGAAACTTGATTTCGTAGTTTATTCGACTTTGTTTTATCGCGAAGCCCAACTTATAGCCCAGACACCAGTCTTAGTACTTTTACACAACAAAATATATAATTATTTTGCTCACTAAAGAAGTGTAGGACTCTTCTTTATAATATTGATACTATTGGACGCAAATTGCCGGTGCACTGTAATTGAGAAATCAATATTTTTGAGTGCTAGATCTAGGCCTAGATCTAAATAGTCAAAATATTTTTTTCTCCCCAAAATCACTACTTTTGGGTGAAATTAATCAAAAAGTACCACTCAAGACATGTATAGGTTTATTCCAAGTGCAATTCTGAATAATTCCATATAAGTTACGCGTATTTTTTTCTGTTTGTGATCCTTTTTTCAAAATTATTCTAAAAATTATTATTTTTTCAATATCGGATGTTATGATCCAAATGTACAAATATTATGGAATGTATGAAAATATCTGCACATTTTTCAATATTTTCCTGTTCTATATACAGTTATGGTTATTTTGAGGTATCTTTTGACTAGGTGCAAACAGGTTTTTTTAGTTTCACCTGAGATTATAAATTTTTTATTTTCCAATTTTATCCGCATCCAATCACAATTGTGTTGCATAATCGCCTCTTACAGGAACCAAAGTTGAAATATACGCAAATAAATAATGCAGGTGTATTCTACAAACCATACTGAACATGTTGGTATATAATATGTTGATATTTATTTGAATTTATGGCCCCAAAGACCTGTGAACTGCGCACTAGTCATCATCTCATTTCACCCTCCCGAAAAGAATTCGTCCACAAACCGAAAATAATACGTAGCGAATGAGTTAAATAATTATCGCTGCTAAAAATTTATTTCACTTTAGGAATCAGCATATCAAAGTAAGCAAAGTGGCTCGCGTTGAAACTGATTTGATGCCATATTTAAACTTCAGCAAGCTTAGTTTTTGATTGTCAATTTTGAATCCGAAGTGATGTATCGAGGTCACCCGCTGCGTTGTGCATCTGACGTCACAGCTGCTAGGCCTAAGCCTAGGCCTATATACTGCACACTTCCCAAGGGCCGGTAAAAAACCGTTAGGTGTCGGCTCCTTCCCAGAGCCGGTGCTAGAGCCAGGACTAGAAGGTGCTTGCAGACATCGACGAGATGATTGCTCAGCCATTTGGTACCAACGTAGATTTCAAAGTCGCATATATAGGATGACCCACTCTCGCACAATTTGTAGAGTTTTATCCATTTATCACCCATTTGTGGGGCTTGTCCTTCATGTAGACCCTAAATTTAATCCGGCCTCGAAATAGGCATATCACTTTGTTGATGCATAGATTCCTTTCTGGTGTGTACAGAGATCGAAATTTAGCTCTGAGATGATCATAGACAAACCCTAGTTTGAAAAGTTAATTGTGGAGCTTATTGTCAGGTGAAACGTAGTTGTCATTGTTGTAAAGGTACAACTTTGAGAGTATGTCTTAGAAACGCTTCCGAGGCATGATCTTGGGGGCAAATGTACTGTAGACAAAAATATTTGTTGACCAGTAGTCTTCTGTTTTCTTTTCCTTTATAGTCCCCATGTTTATACGCAGGAGAATAAATCCTCTGTCTTTTGTTGTCACTGGCTTCCATCTGTTGAGGAACTGGTACTATGTCGAGGTTTCATCATAACCAGCCAGAGTTTGCTCTGCATACCTGTTTTCTTTCGGTCACTACATGTTGTATCAACTTCTCATCTACAATCTGTTAAAAAATATCAAGAGGGGAATACCTGTGAAGTCTGGGATGGTTGGAAAATGTGTTAGGGCTTCAGTCCAGTTGAGTCCAGCAGCAGTAACATCAACCCCCTCACTGGGACCTCTTAGTCTTGCGTCATTATGTACAAGGTCCTCCTCAATTACCTCATGTATGTGTGTTATTTCTGATCAGTTCATCTATTGCAACTTCTTCTTGTGATTCACTGTCAGAACTGCTTGGAACATATGGATGACTGCGACCAAGCGTCTGGTCCAGAACTAGATCACTACTAATACATGTGCTTCAAAACAATGTGAAAAGATGAAGAATTATACTTTTTATAACTTAAAACTGAAAAACTGAATCAAAGCAAATAAGTTTTTCGTTTCTCACGTGAATAATTATTGGAGGCACTTACGAGTTTTGTGAGATCCCTATGGTATAAAAATGGGTTTATCTTTCTTTCTGTGCAATTGAGTGGCTGTAACCCATCTGCAAAACTTGCTGGTAGAAAAGCTCCTGAGATAAGGAAAGCTTATGAATGAATGAATGATAATGCTTTCATTTGTGTGTTATTTAAAAAATTTTTATAAAAGCATATTATTCAAAAGTTTGAATTGTGATTTCAATTCTTTCTTTTGTGTTGTTTAAGCTTTTGCTTTCTGATTTGCGAGCAAATTCCCAATGTTCTTCTATCCGTGACTCTTGTCTTAAAAATGCATTGTGTAATGCCTAGTCAAGTTTTTGGTTGTTCACTTGTACTTATAGCTGTTTGAAAGACTCTTAATGTTCTCATTTCTAGAGTAGTATGTTGGAGGATCAATTAGTGACGATTTTATGTTAATGTTTATATATTTTTAAAAATCCTTGTGATGCCTACTTTGCTTAATAAAAACTTCCAGAAACAAAAATATTTCTTTTACTTGTCTCTTTTTAGTCTTTTAACAGTGTGTTACTGTCATATGTAGATTTTTTTTCCAGCATTTTTACTCTTGGATATGTGAGGCATCTTGGTGAAATCAGACACTCTTCAAAATAATGAAATCAAAGAAACCATTTTTCTAGGTTTTTGGCATTTTTTTTTCTATTTCTGGCTCAACACCTTTTATGTCTAGTTATAAACACATTTCTGTGTAAATTTTTCTGAAAACTAATTCCTAAAGGCTCAAAACATGAATATTTTCAGTTACCAAGGACTCTGAAGCAGTGGAAATCACCAAATTTTGGCAGCTATTTTCTTGCTAATTTTACTGCTGGATCCAGGTGACCCCCACCTCCTTTGATTGCAAATATCTCGACTTCTTTGCAAGATAGATGGGTATTTTTTCCTTTAAAAAGTAGACAAATCATCAAACTTAAGAGGATACCTCCATACGTAAAAAATTTGATGAGTGTCTGATTCCACCACGTCATGACACATATAGGCCTACATATATATATATATTTAATCCAAGTCAAAGAAATAAGCCTGGCTTTGAAAATAAGACAGTTCTATAGGTTGATGGGGTTGTTTACTTTTTAAAATTTTAATACATATATACATTGTTATTTTCAATTGTAACCTTTATTGTACAGCACATGCATGAAAAAAGTCCTTTGGGCAGATTACAGCATCACTAAAACTAAAAAGCTGTACTTAAATTTATACTTTTCCAAAATTCAGCTGTTCCATTCCATATAATATATTTTGCAGTGGTGTACTCTTGTAACCAAGGGTATTCCTTCCTCTGAGAACCTGGTCTCACAGAGTTCCACTACAACGCCTACTTGCAGCCAATTGATCCTTCTCTGAATTGACAAACATCAACCCGCAGGTGGTTGGCGGGTACTGTTGTGTGATTTGCTCTTTCTTTCCTATTAAATATTTATCGTCTTTATCTCCCCTCCTTCTATTTTTTGTTTGTTACTCTCTTGTAACACCTCATATCTTTGGCACTTATATGACCTTATTGTGTTGCAAGTGCCGTAAAACTCTTACTAAAACTAAAAACTAAAAACATCACCCCTAATACTAATAAGTAATAGATTAGTACAGTATAGATAGTTTAACCAAGCTCACCAAAAGAGCGTGACAAAAACTAAAATGCCCTGAAAATGACATAGGACAGCCTGGCTCTTGACAGACCCACTTGGAGGGCAGCTGATCTTTAGAGGATTCATAAGTTTGATATGCGGAAACCAAGAGGGAAACCCGCAAGCTGGTCACATCCACTAGTGAAAATAAAGCTTTTATTAAATGCTTTCATAATACTCTTTTAATTAACTGAACTGGGGGAAAGTATCATTTTCGCAAGGCCACCTGGCTATTTTGGCATTCGAGAAAACGAGCAGGTAGATCTCCTGGCGAAGGAATCCTTGTCCCTACTGTAGGGATCAACGAAGGACTCCCCCCACAGACAGACTTTAAAAATATGGTTAAAAAATACTCCTCCAGTCCGTGGGAGAAACACTGGAGTAAACAATTAAAGTTCAATTAAACAACAAGCCCCATATTGTTCAATATTATTCCCAATCTGGTTCAACGAAAGCCTTCGGGCCTCTCCAGAAGAGACGAAGTTGTTTTTAATCGATTATGCATAGGACAATATATATATATGTATAT